GGTAGATGTGACATTGTTAAGTGAGGAAAATAAGGGTAAGTTCAAATCAAATGCTCAAATAGCACATAAGTACATTCATGGAAATTATTATGGTTATGTTCAAATATATTCTGATGCATCGAAAAATATGGAAGACAAAGTAGGTGTGGCATTTAGTATCCCAGAATTTAATGTGAAAGTCAGTAAAAGAATCACAGATAATTTGTCAATTTACACAGGTGAAATGGTTGCAATTTTACTGGCATTGCAATGGGTGGAGGAACATAAGCCAATGCGGACACTCATATGTTCTGATTCAAGTTCATCTTTAATTACAATTAAAACATGTCATTCAGAGAGCAGAGCAGATATAATGATTGAGATTCTTCAAACAATATATAGGATCCAGATGATGGGAATTTCTGTAGCTTTCTGTTGGGTACCAGCGCATGTGGGAGTAAAAGGAAATGAGTTAGCAGATGAATATGCAAAGGAAGCAACACAGAAAGTAGACATAGATATGCAGATAAAGTATGGTAAGAGGGAAATTAAGTGTGTAATCAAGCAACATGTGAAGAATAGATGGCAGAAATATTGGGAAGAAGAAAGAACAGGGAGATGGTTTTATAGCATTCAAAGAATTGTTGGTAAGTACAGAGTAACAGGAAGAAATAGACGTGAGGAAACTATAATCTCAAGGCTTAGATTTGGCCATACTGCTCTTAATAGCAGTTTAAAGAGAATGGGGAGACATGAAACTGGAAAATGTGAATATTGTAATATGGAGGAAAATGTAGAGCATGTTATAATGAAGTGTCCAAGATACGGAAAGGAAAGAAAGATACTGATTGATGTCCTCAAGGAAAATAAAGAAAAATTTAATTTGATGAACATTTTGGGGAATAAATCGGGGGATAAAAACTTTCCATTTTTAATGCGTTATTTAAAGGACACGGGATTATATAATAGAATTTAGTGAAGAGTACGGTCCTGATCCACACTCCTAATCAGTAGGTGGTGGTAATGCACCTAAAAGTTGTATGCCATCCACCATTAAACACCAAGAAGAAGAAGAAGAAGATGTGGCCATTTTAAACAGACAGAATCGATGATTAACAATACAGAATATCTTTAAATCTTTAACAGAATCTCTTATAAATGCTAAAGCAGGAGTTTGTGTGTAGTTACCGGATGGGAATGTGAATTATATGTATGATATTTTTCACCCGAAAGCAAATTAACAAAGTTTCTTGTGTGTTTCGTGCTGAATTCGATTCTTCAAAACTCTAAACAGCATTTGTGTTCAAATATATGTCTAACCTTATGTATTTGAGAGAAGGCAGTTTATAGTCTATTTCTCTAACTGATATTCAGCTGAAATATGCGCCTTATTATTAATGTAAGAACGCGCGAGACTTCCGGTTATTTAGCAGTACCAAAACACTACGTTATGCTGCTCGATTTATCTAATTATTTTACATAATTCATTATTATAAGCATGGACACTGGTTTGTAGCGCAGTTTTTTCTGTTCTTCTAGTATTTAACTGCAGCGGCTGAAGCATCAGAAGTCTCACTCATTCACAGAAAACAGCTTACTTCCAAAACAAGGCGGATAAAGGCTGTTAGCTTAACTTAGTTTGTGTGATTGTTTGTCTCTCCATTTAGAGATCAAATAGTGGTGGACGATATGACCAAAATCTTATATCATGATATAAGTAGTTTTATTTCACAATAACGATATATATCACAATTGTTATTTTTGCTTTTAATAAGATGTTTATGATATAAAAACTTTTGATATCATCGAATTTTCATAATGTTTGTCACCAGTGTCAAAATCAGACAAACAACTAATACAATCTCACTGAAGATACTGCACGTTCTGCGTGTCTGTGGAAATCAGAAATCAAAACTACTGTTCAGGGTTTCAAGTGCAGGTCAGTTTCTTCTGTAAATATGCTATTGTAGTTTTGTCTTTGTTTACTTAGTTAAGCAGCAGCAGCTCATTGCTCATCGGTCATCACTCAAAATACTGTATAAAGGACATCATTATTATCTATTGTAATGTTACAGTAGTCATTTAGCAGACAAATAATCATATTTTATAATAGGTTTAGGGGGAGCTAGGGCAGACGACATCAACACAACCCTTACGATAATTAACAATGATTTTACTATAATCCAAAGACAATGGTTACTATTGTTAAACCATGGTAACCACAAATTAACCATGGTTTTGCTACACTAGCCATAGTTTAACCGTGGAATTTGTAGTAAAAATAAATACAAATGGTAATCCATTTGCCAAAAAAAAAAAAACTTGGTTACTGTACTTTTACTACAATAAAAGCATGGCTAATTTTTGTAAGGAAAAAACATGACTCATATTCAGCATTGGGATTTTTTCTGTAAAGATATTGTAGTGATGTACTAATTTTGACATGTAGGCAATTTAGAAAGTATAGTTTTGTTAAATCTTGAGTATTAATGTCATGTGAGAGATAGATATCAGAGCAAAATAAAGAGACTGAAAAGAAAAATGGAAGAGAAGGTGCAGTTCAGGGGAGAACTGAGTCTGATTTTGTGGTGGATGTGTTCAAATTTGATCATCTTAATTCAAGTGATGAAGGATTTTGGAAGTCTGACAGTGTTGAGCACTACTGTAAGGTTAACCCTGCATGCTGTAAATGTTTGAAAATGATTAACTGTTGCAAATAAACATTCATTAGAAATTTAGAAAAGTAATCAAAAGTAATCAGTTACATTACTTCATTAAAGTAATTGAAAAAGTTACACTACTATTACAATTTAAAAAGGTTAACTTGTAATCTGTAACCTATTACATTTCCAAAGTAACCTTCCCAACACTGTGTATACTGTGCATAGTATGCAAACTTTCTGTACACATCGAATACCCAGATGATCTTCTATATTTCCCAGAATCTGCAAAGATATTAAATAATGCAAAGGTATTACATAATAATAATATTGCAGTAAAATAATATTTAAAAACATAATATATAAATAAAAATAATATTTCAATTATGTAAACAGACTTCAATCTTTAAAAAGAAATGGAGTGTCTATTTACTCTAAGTGCAAATATCCCAATTTTTTGGCAGAGGATATTTACATTAACACCGCCCACCAATGTCTAGTTGGTAGAAACAGCACTACAAAAGATGCACATTCACCTGAAGTATCAGTGGCATAGGGAGTAAAACCTGAAGCAGTTGTTTACAAGTATGAACCCTTATTAACAAGACTTTGTAAAAAGAATAGTTAGCACATTTATTTGTAAGGTAACAGCCTCGACAGCTGTGCTGAATCAGTGTTTGTCATGTGACATCACTGTAGCATACTACTCTGAAACATTATTTGTTGCTTATTGTATACTGACACACACTTTTCTTTAAAAAACAAAATAGTAGGCAGGATGCACTGTGTACTGGACAGTAAGCAGTAAGTTAGTCAGTCCCTCCAGAATTATTCTGGACTTTTTTCTGACTTTTGCAGCCTACAGTGACTGATTTTGTGGCGGTGTTGTTTTGCAGTGAAAATATACCACTAGACAACATTGTTCTAACATTTTTATTACCTTTCTGATCTCAAGAATCACTGGGCTCTGTAATTTATAAAAAGAGAACGCTGACAAATTTAAATAAATATTTATCATACATTACATACATACATTAATTTCTAAGGACTCTAAATTACCAACATTAAAAATCTCTACAACATGATCAAAATCATTAGAAAATCATGTTAAAGTCTATCATATAATGATACAACAGTGTTTTGAGGAACATTTATTTGTTCATCCCGCAATCATTGTAGGTGTACTGAATTGCACTGTTATAACAAATCACAGAGGCGTGAATGAATGTACGCTTGTCGCCTGATCCACAAATGCACATTTTCCTGATCAGCAAATGCACATTTTAATCGTTACATGCACATTTTACAGTTAATTCTTAACTCTGCAGACACCGGTTGAAAAGCATTTGTTTCAGTGTAGTGACGCACTTTTTTTTTTCAAATTGTGTACACATTAATGAATTGCACTGGGCCTTGTTCGTTGGTAGTTGTGTGTGTGGGGGACATGAAATGCTGTAAACTGTGAAAATGAAGTCTCAAAATCCAAACGAACTGAACAAGATCAACTCGAACTAGACGTCAATTAATGCACGCGTGTCTCCTGATCCACTTATGCATGGATTCCTTTTTGCATGAGCAATTTATGATATATTAATGCAGAACAGAACATTTTTATTCGCAAACATGTCTGTATTTGTACAAATCGCTGCACAATCATTTAATCCCGAATTCCACAGACTCAAATTGAAAGATTTACAATCAACAACATCAATGTGTTTGACCAAACCAAACAAAGTCAATTGCCTTTTAACCAGAAGAAATATAATTCATTATCTGAGCTGCATCAGAGAGCTTTAAAAAAGGCCTTAAAGAGTAAGAATGGACACCTGGATCTTTTCCTGCGTTTTCTTCTGGGTCTCTCAGTGGAGTCCAATCAGACTCTCTTACGAAAACTACTGACACAGACAGGATGCTGCTCCTATAACAAAGAGGAAACAGTTCAGTGCATCAAGCAGAAGATCAGTGAGAATCGCTCTCCAGAGAAATCCATCAATCTGTTCCACTGTCTGAATGAACTGGGTGATGATTCACTGATGCAGGAGATCCAAGATTATCTGAAATCTGGAGAAATAAGAGAAACCAAACTCTCCTCTTCACAGTGGTCCGCTCTGGTTTATGTGTTGCTGACATCAGAGCAGAAGATGGATGTGTTTGATCTGAAACAGTTTATTGGAGCACAACATACAGCAGATGAAGTTCTTCAGAATCTGTTACCTGTGGTTAAAGAATCCAGATCAGCTCGGTGAGTAACACTGAAAACAGTCACTGCACTTTCAAAACATGATCACATTTATGATTTTAGCATGTGCTTTCTTACCAAAGCAACAAAATGGGTAAAATATCAGAGAATCACATTTCTGGCAGTGAGCAGGAGAGGTGTGTGAGACACACTTACTAAAGCAGCTGAGGAGGTTTGTGTGTTTCTGTGTGAGAGCTGATGATGAAGAGCTCAGTGTGGAAGATGAAGATGAAGATGAAGGAATGAATGTGAGGGGGTCAAAACTGACAGCAAACCGATTTCTAATTATGTTTATATGTTTGTTTTATGGTCTGTATGAATGACATTTGCACTTGAAAAATGTTCACATTTAATTTCTTTAATCACAGCTGGTGTCAGATCATCATTCATGTTCTTTAATCTGTACAGGTTTGCTTATTGTGGTGTCACAAATGAAGGCTGTGCAGCTATACATTGATTTAAATGGTAGTTATCTAAGATAATATAGGAGATAAATACACAGCATGTAAGAAAGTGTAGAAAATCTATAGTTAGGGACAACATTTGGAAAAAAAAAAATATATATATATATATATACAAATTGTAATCAACATGTATAATATACTCTGATCAGTACACAGAATTCAGCAAAACATAAGTGAAATGTGTCAGTCACATAATCAGTCCAGCCTTAGAGCCAGATGTAGGTGCTTGCTACAGCCTCTTTTCACCCCACAAACACCCTTAAAGGGATACTCCACCCCAAAATGAAAATGTTGTCATTAATTACTTACCCCCGTGTCGCTCCAAACCTGTAAAAGCTTTGTTCATCTTCGGAACACAATTTAAGATATTTTGGATGAAAACCGGGAGGCTTGTGACTGTCCCATTGACTGCCAAGTAAATTATACTGTCAATATCCAGAAAAGAATTAAAGACATCGTCAGAATAGTCCATCTGCCATCAGTGGTTCAATCTGAATTTTATGAAACGACGAGAATACTTTTTTTCTGTGCAAAGAAAACACTGTGTGGCGCGGCTGACACAGAACAACGTACATTATTTGCGTCCAGCAGATATTCTCCAAAATGGTGCTACGCTGACGTAGAGGAGACGAATTGTTGAATAAAGTCGTTGTTTTTGTTTTCTTTACACAGAAAAAGTATTCTCGTCGCTTCATAACGTTACGGTTGAACCATTGATGGCAGATGGACTATTCTGATGATGCTTTTCATACTTTTCTGGATCTTGACAGTGTAATTTACTTGCCAGTCTATGGGACAGTCACAAGCCTCCCGGTTTTCATCCAAAATATCTTAAATTGTGTTCCGAAGACGAACGAAGCTTTTATGGGTTTGGAACGACATGGGGGTAAGTGATTAATGACAAAAGTTTCATTTTGGGGTATCCCTTTAATTTTGGTGTGGAGGTTTTTATTTTATTATTATTATTTTTTTCAGTGCTAAGTCATACTAGAATGGCCTACTAAGCAACCCATTCACAGGGGAGCGTAATTCTACTTCCTCTTAGACCCTAAGAGCCTAAGGGGAGAATACATTTACATGTAATCATTTAGCAGATACTTTTATCCAAAGCGACTTATAAATGAGGACAATAGAAGCAATCAAATCAACAAAAGAGCAACAATATGTAAGTGCTGTGACAAGTCACCGTTAGTCTAACGCAGTACACATAGCAAGTTGTTGTTTTTTAAATAATAAATAAAAAGTAGATAGAACAGAAAAAGAAATAGAATAGAGAGAGCTAGTGTTAGAGGGTCATGATTTTTTCTAAAAAAAGACAGAAAAGTCGATAAAATAGAAATAGAACAGAGAGGGTCAAGTTGTTTTAAGTATTATAAATAAAAGAAAACAAGTAGACCGAATAGAAACAAAATAGAGAGCTAATGTTAGAGCAGGGGTGTCAAACTCATTTAAGGTTGAGGGCCGGATCGGAGAAAATGTCCCCTTGTGCGGGCCGAATGACCTTTTGTTAAACCCTAGTTTGCTCACAATTACATTAATATTAACCATACAAACTACAATATAATAAAAAAAAATCTAGGACAACTAGATGCTTGGTTATTTTAGGGGTGTGCAATATTGACACAAAATGTCTTTTTTTTTTGATAGTGATAATTACCATATTTTGCAGAGTGTGTTTTTGAGATGGCACCTTGGTTGGTTTAAGCCTGTCATGGATAAATAAATATGACACTAAAGCCGCCAGTAGGTGGCAGCAAGTCTCCGTCTTAATGAGTGATCCATTGACTCATTCATTCAAAACGGCTGATGTTTATCATTAAAATGTATTAAAGTAAATAGTGTGAATTACATCGCTAATGTCCTAGAATAGCACGGCAGGGCACATTGTAACGCAGTGTTACAACATTCCTCATCTGCGCAATTGGAATTTAAAACTGGTTACTGTCTTCTGATAGTTAGTGAAGCATTAAAAAATTATTTAAACTGATAAATATCAGACTGGAGATTAAAATAATAGCAGATTTGTCTAATTTTAAATGAGTAATAAAAACTGAGATGATAAATGTACTTAAGCCAGAAATATAATTTTACTATGGTCAAATAAATGTTCAGCGATATCTTCAAAAGACTTTTGAATTTTGGTGCACTTTTTTTCTCTATATAATGTTGATATAGTAACTAGTAAATGCTGTAAATTTGGTTATGCTAGCATGTGAGGAAATATTTAAACCACGTGTGTTACAACTTACCCTGCGTTACTTTGTGCCCCGCGCTCCCCTACTTTCCATTTCTCCTTAAATAGGCTGTCCGCCCTTCCAGGTCAAATTTCTTCTTTTGGACATGTTTAAAATCACCAGAAAATTGCCCCACAAGCATCAGTTACAACGCAGCTATCATCATATTATCCTCGTGCTGCTCGAGATTTTGGCGCCGCTTTAAAACGCGCATTTTAGGTGTCCTGAACCCGAGGCGTAATATCAACGTAAATAAATGAGCAATTTGTTTCCGCTTTAAATTCAAAGTAAAATATTGTAGCAAATACACTTTATTTAATTTTCAAAATTGTTTTATTTGTTATTTTATAATATTGTTTAAATCATCCTGCGGGCCGGATTGGACACCTCTGAAGGCCCTGTTTGGCCCGCGGGCCGTATGTTTGACACCCCTGTGTTAGAGGCATGCATAAGTACTTAGAGTTTTCTCTGAAACAAGTGACAGAAAGAGCCCTTGCTTAACACCTCTTCAGAGAGGATAGAACACATCCTCCAGCAGCACTGCTGAGCAGCGTCTGGACAGATCCCATGCTGTGCAGAGACTCTCAGGCCTGTCTTGCTTTGCATATGTCTTGCCAAAAGTCACAAGGTGTTCATCAGAGGAGGAAAATTAATTGAGAATATCTGCCTCTACTGCCCACCTAGAAGCCCAGGACAGAAGCTGCCATTTGTTATTTCAGCAGTAATTATTACTATTATTATGTTTATCTTTATTATCTCATACCACTGGATAGAATAAAGCAAGAACTGGGGGCTGTTTCATAAAAAAGTTTACCAAATAGGCCAGGCTTATTTCAATTAGTCTGACTCATTGTCACTTGATTTGGTTTCATAAAGCAAAATTACCATAGCTCAAGCTCAGTCACTGTGGCAACTTATGCTGGGAAACAAACCTGGTCCAGGGCAGGCTAACTGTCAGGCTAAGCTGAGTTCCTCTAACACTGACCAATAGGAACGCATTGATTTTACCGCTGACTCTTTCACATACAATTATTTGACACTATCAGTAAAAAAAAACATACAGAAAATGCAACTTAAATAAATAAAATAAATAAAAATATAGGCTACAACCAACTGTATTTAATGTATTGTGCCCAAGATTTAATTACATTTTTTAAGATATATGAATGTAATATATATTAGTAGTACATTCAAATATTACAATATAAAATTGCTCTTTAAAGCATTAAAACACTAAATTAAAAGTTAAAATCACTAAATTAAAAATGAAAATAAATAATAAAAAACAGATTACATTTTAACTGATAAGAGGAACTCATTTGAGCTAGTAATTAGGGCTGTGTTACGGGGCTGACGAGACGTGAGACTTGCGGATCCATTCGCTGTATTAGCTAGCTTACATTTGATTTACAGTTACTGCTAGCATAAAAATACACTTATATGTGGGTTTAAAATTCTACAAAAGGCACATTTAATGTCCAATAACAAATATTTTAGCAAAATGTATATTTTACTCAAAATTATTTTTTGAGTACTGACAGCAAAATGGATATATTTGCATGACTTTCTAACATTTACAGATGGAGAATATAACTGTGACATGTCAGTTATGCACTGAGGAAAACACAACATCTCAAATGCATTAAACAGCTCATATACATTCGCTGTTTGTCATGGTGGATCAATTTGATCACAATTGACATTAAGGGCTGTTTAAGAATAGAGTGCACATCAAATGATCTTGACTCGTTGAACCTAGATCAAGTGGGTTTCTAGTGATATTGCGTGAACTTAAATAGTCGTTTATAGCCCTATTCGCTCGGGATTAGTATTATCTGGGAACCTTGTGTGATTTAGAAATTACCCCCCCCCCCCCCCGTCTGGTATTATCTGGGGACCTTGTGTGATTTTGAAATTACCCCCGCACATCTGAATTTCGTGTGGTGCATTCGCACGGGATAAGTGAAGCCTATGATTTCACTCGAATTTACTGACTTATCTCCCAGATATGAATGTTTCTTACTGCATGCTGCTATATACGTATGTCATCTATCTCCATCTAATCATTCTTTTTGTTTTCGCTCTTCTGATGGTTTTCAGATTTCTCTTTCTGCAAATTGTATAGTTGTATGGTGTGTAGCGACAGGGGAGGTTCTAGACCTGTTTTAGGTGGGCTTCAGCCCCTCTATCTGTCGTCTCAGCCCCCCCTTATAACTATCTGAACGATCAGGCCTGCTGTTTCCTCAAGAAAGTTGATAATTCTCATGTGTTTTAAGGCTTGTCAGTTTAAACATTTAAGTGATTTTAAGCTATTCAAGCAAAAGACGGCATGAAATATATCTCAATGCGGTACTCGCGCGCTGTCATAGATCGTCTCTGTGCGCGTGCACACACAGAAAGCTTTCTCTCAGACATTAAGCAAATACCAAACAGTTCTTTTTCATGTCTTGAACAAATTCGTACAAAATTATGGCTGAATGGCTGTCTTGACGAGTATCGACATGAAAACAGTTGGTTACGTCTTAAGTGAACGTAAATAGTTATATATCGGATGTGCATTAATATAACGGACCCGTGCATTTCTTATGTTAATAATGTTAATCAAACAATAAAAGAAAAAGAGAGAATCACTCGCTGCTCTTAGTTAAGTAACTTCTGTAACTTTAATGGATATTTGTGTGTATGTACTTCAATTAATTTAGGTAATTTGTATCTTTGAATCCAGTGGTATGTCTGAGGGCTCAGCCCCCCTGTGGATGAATTAAGTCCTAGAACCGCCCCTGTATAGCGTTATGACCCAGCACCCAAAATACTATCAAAACATTCCAATGCAGCCTCCATTTTTCACGAAAGATGGATAAAACGGCGCACAGGATAAAAAAACCTTGAAAAAATTATATACGACCCGCCAAATCACAGAGATGCCGATTCACCTTGGACTCATATTATCACAGGACCTCGGTGTTCGGTGAAATATGGTAGGTCATTTGCGGGGGAATTTTTACTTTACAAATTACAGACATGGCCGATTCACACGGGATTAAGATCACAAACAACCTCCGCAATTATTACAAATGACTGGAGGTCACCAGGGAATACTAATCCCGTGCGAATAGGGTTTATGGAACCGCTTTAGCTCCGATTGATTTGTTAGATTATTTCAAGTCAGATTTTGGACTTTAATCCCTGCTTTTCTGAGCGTCTTTTATGAAACAGCCCCCACTGTTTTATTTACCATAAATGCAATGTAATGAGTGCATGCAGTGTTTCTTACATGTGCATACAAACAAGCAGCTCCTGAAGATAAAAAGCTGATGTTCATTGCAGGCGCACTCATGGTGTGAGTGCGCCTGCATCATTATATTCATGGTGCTCCAGTGATGGCATCATAGACTGTCATCAGCCAATAGTATTGTTGTGTTTGCACACGTGCTTCAGACACCGGTAACGCTGATGAACTTCCCCATAACGTCAATCCAAGTCACATTGTCCCATTCATCTTCTCTTTGCTGTACTCATATTTTACCCAGTTTATTATTCTAAATTGTATCATAAATTAAAGAAAATGATTGGTATATAAAATATTAGGTAAACTGTCCAGGTGTTGTCAGGTTGATGTTCTGTTTCTGTTCAGGGACTCTTATTTTGATGTTCTTTTCATCCTGTTGTATCTTGTTTCTGAGGTCCTCTCAATATTGTTTAGTTTTATAACAACAACAGTGAACAAACAACATATCAAAAAACAAAAACTTAAAAAAAAGTGCCAGGCGACATTACAAATGACATAAGTGCCTAAAATAAGCACAAAGATCCACTCTTCCTTTTCTGCCTTGCTTTGACATGTTTAATGAAGAATTTAATTACTGAAACTTACATTTAAAATCTAATGGAGGCAATTAAATTGTGTGTTATGGCCTTAAATTCTTTCTTAAAGCTAAAACCATCCTATGTATTCACTGCTTATTGAGTTTACTTCAACTGTATCACCACAGTCAAAGCTTTCTGGAAGTCATTATATTACTGTTTGTTTTGTTCTTTACACAGGTTATGTGGATGTAATCTCACTGCTCAGTCCTGTGAGAGTGTGTCTTCAGCTCTACAATCCTCAAACTCTGTCCTGAGAGAGCTGGACCTGAGTAACAATGACCTGCAGGATTCAGGAGTGAAGCTGCTCTCTGCTGGACTGAAGAGTCCAAACTGTCAGCTGGAGATACTGAGGTAAATGGTTTTCAATCAAATAAATTAACACAATATTCAGTGTGTTTATCAAATTGTAAAGCTTGTAGTATAATTTTATAAAAATATGCAGCATGTCACTGTGTTCATTTATGCTAGCAGCTCATAATCCGCTCAGTTTTCCGCAGCTCAGTTTTCCGTGTTTCAGAGAAGCTTGATTTGCAGTAAATGCTGCTCCACACAAACTCCATCTCATGAAAGTGCTGAGAATTTGGGCTTATAACAAAAGGGCGTTCTGTCCATATAAGCTGTGCATATCCAAGCCATTTGAGTCATGGACTGGCTAATTAATATAAACATGATTATAAATTGATCCCTTGTCATTTGACATGTAACTTAAAGTTTACATAATAAGTAGTTGTGAATAAGTATGTAAAATTATTTATTTGCCAAACAGCAGTAATTTTCTGTAAATCTGTGTTGGTTACGGAAGCTTCCGGGCTAGCAGATTCACTTTGGTGCCTCCGCTCTATTGCTATGACTCGTCAGTATTGTTGCTTGTTCTCGTTGGTTTGCTGGCATGTGGCTGTGGTAAGCGGTTAGCACTCGCCCAAGCAGAAAAATACACTGCTGCTGCCAGATCTCGATTGCCGAATATCATATTGTGTTTGATGCAAAACTAACTTGAGTAAATCAAATGATAAAACATTTTAAAGTCCACTGAAAACATAACTTCTTTCATTTTTGGTATAGATCATGTATGTTGAAGATATACATTTATCGGCTACATACTTGAATAAACTAATAAAGTGATAAAATTTGTACTAAAAAATTCTGAGGATTTCATTGTTTTCTTTGTTTTCCTTATGCTTGTTGCCTTACAGTTAAAGTCCGTTTCATATTTTTTGTTGTTTGCACGTTGCAGCATTTTACTTATATATATATATATATATATTATATATATATATATATATATATAATTATTTTTATTTTTGGCATTTTACATGGTCTGTTGTTGGAGTAGCATCATCCGGTGAGAGATTTTAATCCTATTCCCTGAGAATAAAATAATTAATTAGAGGCAGAGACATAGCTATAGACGGGGAGAATCCCTATGAAAAGGTCATAGATGAGTTCACAAAGAAGAATTTGAGAATGATTTTTGATTTACAAATAAGGTAGACAATGTGCATTTTGTGGAAGTTAATTTTTTTTGGTGGGAGGATGGGGTGGTGCACTCAGCATACCCAGTTAAAAAAGTCACCGCTCGCCACTGTTATAACATGGATATGAAAATGCAACATGCATTAAACATCAGCCATTTTAATTGATTGGCCATCTTAATCAACAAAAAACATAAATCAGTATCTAAAAGTTACAAAGTTGCTGTAAACTCTAGTTTAGGTGCCGACTCACCATTGCTTAGCTGAGAGTGCTCTGTGTTTCTCTCACAGTTTTTTTTTCATACATTGATAGTGACATATACATTATTGCATACAGTAGGTGGCCAACCAAAATGGCTATTACTGCCGCCGCAGGGCTACGGCATTAACTGCAAGTCAGTCGCGTGTTAAAGTCATTCACGAAACTACCGCCAGGTGGTGCAAAGGGACAGTTTGCAAACTGACTGGAATTATATTTTGTTTTGTAAATGGAGATCAAATAACTAAATAAAACAAAAATAAATTTATAATATAACATTATAACATCCTTAAAAATCATTAGAAAATTAATTTAAACTTATTTTTAGAAAGTTAATTTCAAAACGTGAGAGTCTTATAGGCTGCAGCCTAACGCATCGAGATTAATTTACACAAAGGCTCTTACTGCATGTTATGGTAATTAAACAGTCATTATGAAAACCATTAAAACTACACAATTTCCTTATGTTGTATTAAGGGGCTTTTATTTCAATCTACATTCTAATGAAAATTTTTGAACAAAAAATCCTGACCTTGGCCCTCGGTCCTCTGTACAAGGCTGCATGTTCATGAGACTTTATTCGCGTCACAATTTACTCTGACTCACACCATAAAAAAAATAAGTTGTGAGAAATCAGGAATAATAGGCTAAAACTGACATGAAAAACTAGAAATCGTACAAAAAGTAGGATATTTACTTGGAATGTTTAGATTACATTTAAGGAGGTGTGCATTATGCCATAAAAAATAAAACAATCGAAAAGGTAGCTTATTGTTGAGTGTTATAGGCTAGGCCTAGTTCTAACACATATTTTGGCACTATAGTCACATTAATGTCACAAATTATGAAAGGCTTGAAACGTACATTTAATAATTCACATATTTATTTTAGCAGGTTACACATACTTAGTCGTTATCTGACATTTTTTTACATTTTATTCCCATATACAGAGCCCATGACATGCCGATAATTATGTCCATGAATTAAGAAATGTATCACATTTTATCATTCCTTTGTATTAATTAAAACGTGTTTAAATAATAATTAATAATAATTAATCCATGAAGGGCTAATAATGACAGTAAGACGTCAATAATGTATGATCACGCTTTGGTTCATATTTAAGAAATGACTTTAAAAAAGTCGTAGTTATTATTACAGCAAAAATGTGTTTTGTTCCATTAATAATTTTTATGTGAGGTTGAAAAATAAATGGTGCTATTATCATCGGTGCTATAAGTCATTCATTCATACACACGCAACACGCAATGGAAAAGGGAAGTTTGGTTTATCAAGTTAATCCATAGTCCAGTGGTAGAAGGGAGTCATTGATTTCAGCGACACGGGTTCAAATGTTTTTTTTAGTTTTTTTTAAATAATAAAATAATATATAAAATGATTAATACAGATGTGTGTATTCTGCAGTTCGCTGGTTTATGTTACACCATTTTAGAGCATGTCCATTTTACGCTGAGCAACAGTAGTGTGACTGAATTCAGTCCAGCAGGAGGGGGTTGGGGTTTGGGGGTACTTCTGTATAGCTTCATCGTGGGGGTTGAAATAAAGGTGTGGATCGCTTGCTCTTTTATATGGAGAGTGTGTTGAGCGTTTCAAACTTGAAGAGCAGGTTTAGGCAAAGTGTCTGTTTTAGGACAAATGCCTCGTTTGGTTTGGCCTTTGCAATTTCTGCAATGGCATACAGAGTATTACATACAATAAAATATGGTTTTGTTTTTCTCAGGAGACATGAGGCAACGCTGCAGTTGTTTTGGCAATACAAATGTAAAAATATATTGCAGTAATAAGAAACTGTCCTGAGACTTCATGTAGGCCTAATCATTTTTAGTTTCATTATTGGGCAATTCCTGCGTTACGGACTGACATTCACGGTCAAAACCTGAAATATAAATTCTCACAGAATGTATTCATTACCAATATATTGAACCATCTCTTTATGGTTTTCTAAATCCCAAACAGAGTCCAGACATCAGAAAAGTATCTGTCTATGAACGTGTTTTATAGGCTATTTTAGATTTGGGAAATACACATGCGTTACGGACGTGACAAAAAAGAGAGGAGATAACATATTTTGTAGACTTTCTGTGATTAACAATGCACAAACCAGAAGCAACTATATCTGCAGAACGGAGAAGGGTTGACCATTCACAAAACATAAAATATAAATTTTATTTCAATTTCAACTCCTGCATTCATCTCCCTCTCATCAAACAACCAGACTAACAAATGGCTTACCACAAACCATACTGGGGCAGCGCCTAAACAGGGCTTACTTCTGTGTAGGCGTAGATTCTATATGGCAAATATTAGGTGCTTATTGCAAAAATATGTATGTACCTCAGATCTGCAGCCACATTACCCTTTTAGTCTATTTCTTTGGCACACCGCACATTTTATTTAGCTGTCCAGTTATCAAAATCTGTGTGGCAAAGCTGCGTGACATTTACATTATAGTGAAGTGCAGACCAGTATCGGTTTTAGTGTGAATATAAAGCTATCATACCGTTTTGATTGTTATTTCGAGTTTTTTTCAAAGATAAGTTTATATGATACTGTCATTATCCAACAGCATGTTACACATGTATATAATACATGCTATTTTTATAGAAAAGGGCATTTTTCTAACTTCATAAAATATGTCTGTCACCTTTAATATTAAATTCCTAAATTTAGTAAATATTTGAAAAATATGACATTATAGGTGTTACCAATTACATCAGTACCAACCAAAGCCATCTTTGCACTGTGGCACAGAAGCTGCATCTTAAGTTGAATTTAGATGCATTTACACAATTAATGCTGCTCAGACGGCAGTAAATGCATTATTACAGCAATTGCATTATGGAATGGATTAATGTTTTAAACAAAAACATTTTGAATAGCCTACAGAAATATGAAGTGAGTGACAATATTAAACAATTGGATACTTGAATTATGAAGGTTACTTTGCCAGTAGGTGGCGGCAAGTCATTGTGTTGATGAATAGAGTCATCAATTCAACCGATTCGTTCAAAATGCTTATTTGTTCAGGAGCAAAGCAAATGGGTCATTGAACCACTCACACAAATGATTCATTCAAAGACTCGGATTCATTCAAGAATGAAACGCCTGTGTTTTAAGTCAAATAAAACACAGTTTTGTGTCTAAAATGATCAATTCATACTCATTATTTATGAAACTGTACTGTCTAAAATAAAAGTTATGGCTGCTTATTCACACTAAAATCAATACTGGTCTGCGCTTCACTATAATGTAAATGCATTCGCCCCGTGTTGTCCAGTGCGTCACGCAGCTTTGCCACACAGATTTTGATAACTGGACAGCTAAATAAAATCAGTGAAAAGGGGCGTTTAATTCCCTTCCACACGTGGAAATCAAACATTCAATCCATTTTCTACCCCTCAATGTAAAAACGAAAAATTAATGCAAATTCTTGTCTTTTCATGTTTTTGAAAAAACGAAAAATTAAATGTTGCCGTTTGCTGTTTCTGTTTTCAATATTAAATCAAAAAACGAATGAACGCAAGGTACACGGACGACCAGTAATAGAGCACATTTCTTTTAGGTTACAGTATGGAAGAATAAAAATAAATCTTCACAAGTCTACAACCAAGACAGATGCCATTATAACCTGTAAATTAAAGGCTATTTCACGTTTTAAAATGATCTAACGGCCGATGCCGTTCCAATTCGTTGATAATTAGTTGTTCTTGATCAAGATTAAACGGATGCATGACTCTTAAACTTGTTTTAATAAATCTATTTTGCATTAAATTATAAAGATACAA